CCCTGCAGCGTCCCCTAGCGGCGGGCGGGGCGCGCCGGTGGCGTCACGAGGCCGTAGCCAATAGGGGCGTGGCGAGGCGCGGGGTCGTGCGCGGATTGGCCGCGGCGCGGGGCTGAGGGCGGCCGTGGCCGTTGCGGCCGTTGCGGCGGCGGTTGGGCGGCCATGACGGCGCACAGCTTCGCGCTGCCGCTCGTGCTCTTCTCGGCCTTCTGGGGCCTCGTGGGCATCGGGGCGCCCTGGTTTGTGCCCAAGGGGCCCAACCGTGGGTGAGTGCGGGCTGAGGAGGGAGCTGAGGGGAGCGGCGGCCCGAGGCTGACGCGGGCCCGTGTCTCCGCAGGGTGATCATCACGATGCTGGTCACCACCGCCGTGTGCTGCTACCTCTTGTGAGTACCGCGCCCGCACCCCCGGGCTCCCTCCCCCGCGGCTCCCTGGGCCAGGGGCACGGGCCGGCCCCGCTAGTGGAGCCTCCTGCTCCCACATGCCCACACGGGGCCCCCTGCGGTTCTGCTGCCCAGGGCTCACTAGCGGCTCGTGCCCCTTTGCAGCTGGCTCATCGCCATCCTAGCCCAGGCCAACCCGCTGTTCGGGCCACAGCTGAAGAACGAGACCATCTGGTACGTGCGCTTCCTCTGGGAGTGAGCAGCGCCCACATGGAGACCCTCGCCACCACCGTGAGTGTGCACAGGGCTGTCACGGGCAGCCACAGTGTCACCTGCATGTGTCCTGCTGGGGCAGCTGGCTCTGCACCGGGCCTGAGCACAGCAAGTGCTTCTCCTGAGCTGGCTGCCCTCATGGTGTGGGGTTGTGAGTGGGCACAGCTTGGTGCTAACACCTGTCCATCTTCCCCTCCACCAGGTCTTGCTGCTCCAGTCTCTGCCCTCATGTAGTCCCTGGCAGTCCCCAGCGGTGCTGGGCCTCCAGCTAGACCTACTGCTCCCAGCCCCCCAGAGCACTGCAGGTGGCCACAGCACCAGCTGTGCCCTCAGCCTCAGCAGGCAGGACCCCTGCTGGGCCTGGGGGCACAAACCCTGCACTGCCTGCCCTCCTGAGCCGAGCCCTGTGTGTACCCGTGGCATCTGGGAGACCCTGTCACCTGGCCCAGTCAGCGATGTTGATGATCAGCTAGTCCTTTGCAGGAGGGAGTCCTAGGTGTAGGGCCAGTACATCCTGTTTGCAGCCCTTGTCATCCTCAGTACTCAGCCCTGGGCTCTCCTTGTGTGAAACCTGTTCCTGTCCCAACCTCAATAGAGAATCTCTTGTCTCTGCTTTGGACCCTGTTTGCTCCTGTGCAGGAGCAGACAGAAGCCTGTGGCCTCCTCTCTATGTTCAGTCTTCTTGCGGGGGGAGCCTGGGCCTGCAGTGGAGTCCTCCTTGCTGAGACAGGTTTGAGGTGGGGAGAAGGGAGATCTGACCTGGGAGGAACAGACTGACTCCCCCCAGCCTGAAGGAGAATCAGTATGAGTGGAGGGTGAGGGGGGTCTATGGCCTGGCCGATGGTTCATGCTGGAGGTCGCATCCTCACTACTGCTCAACCCTCCCCACTGTGGAATCTAGGTGTTACCCCTTTTGCATCTATCACAATTTGGAGAAGAACTGAGTATCAAGTAGTAGCCCAGGAAACTTCCTTTATTTATCAGAGAATTAATGTGTATTTATTTATTTATTTATTTATTTGTATTTGATAGATGGTGTTGTGAAAATAAATCATTTTCTAGTAAGTGATGCTGGAGGCAGTAGTCACTTACTGCTGTGAGGTAGAAGCACAGTCATGATTGTATCTTGCTCTGTTCCTTACCCCCTCTTCTGCTGTTTTGTGCTCCCCAGGGTGGGAAGAGAGCAGAACCAGCAGTGTACAATGTCCGGGTGTGGGAGCAGGGCCCCAGGTCACCAACAGGAGTAGCTAGAGCCCTGCTGGAGCAGGGGGCTTAGCAGCCCAGGCCCACGTGCTGCCTTCAGCCCTGGCAGCGCTGCCAAGCTGGGGGTCACCACAGATGAAAAGCAGAAAATTTTCCCTGCAGCTCTGGGGAGGCTGGGCTCTGAGGACAAGTCCCAGCAACACAAAGTAAGGCTCTGCAAGGCAGGCCTGTGCCCTGTTACTCCAGTGGAGTGGGTACTCAACAGAAAAGGAGACCAGCCCTGTACTGGATGGCTCATCATTATTTTATTGCTCTGGAAATAGGAACAGTTCAAGTATAAACTTAAGAACTTCATTTGGTCCATGGGACAGAAAGGTGGCTGCCAGCACCCAGAACTGCCCCAGGCAGTGAGGCAGCTTCCCCAGGCAGGCCCAGCCTGCCCTGCCCCCAGGGAAAGAACCTCTGGTCCTTCTTGCATTAGCGCCTGATTAGCCTGTGGGCCCCCACAGGGCAAACATGCTTGAAAGGGAATGAAATGCAACCACCTTAGGTGGTAGAGAAAGAGCTGCTGAGCATGGGGCAACAGCAAGGACAGCAGGAGGAGGGGAGACGCAGCCACGAGCTGGACGCCTCTGCCCCTGCTAGGGAATGTTTGAGAGAGCTGCAGGGAGCTGTAGGCCACCCGTGGCCACTGAGCTCTCATGGTGATCCTGTTGTCTTCCTCTTAAGCCCTCATATTCAGGGTGAGCTAGAAGAAGGCCCCACAGTGGTGCTGAGCAACCAGAGCCCTGGCTCAGACCCCGGCACAACAGCGGTTGCAGCAGGAGCTGGCCCGGTGCTTCAAGGCCATGGCCCTGGATGGGCTGCTCTGTGAGTTTGAGTCCTGCTTATCTGAAGGGCCCAGCAAGGGCTTCAGCCTTGAGCCTGCTGGACTTTGCTCTGTCCCTGTGAGCAAGGAGGCTGCCAGAGGCCAGGGAACGCGATACTGAGGCCTGGGGAGTGGCAAAGAGGGAGGCTCAGGTGACTATAGCTGCCTTGGCCCATGAGAGTGTGACAAAGGTGGCCATCAACAGTCCAAGCCCTTGGAGCGCAGGGCCACGTCCTCTAGGCCCAGCGCTGGTTCTGCTGGTGCAAGAAGCCGGCGGGCACTGCTGGTGTCATGGCCCTGTGCCCGGGGCCGGCGGCAGCAGCACCACCTTGTCCAGCCAGAGCATGTCGAGCTGGGCCGCGCGCAGCTGCCGCCGGTGGATGCGGCGCAAGCGCAGGAGGTAGAGCACTATGGCCAGCACTACGACGCCGATGCAGGCAAAGAAGAGATAGTGGTTGTAGACAAAAGAGAGGCGCAGCCAGGAGGCATGTGCTTGGCGGACGCTCTCCGGCCGGAGATCCCTGCAGAGGGGAAGAGGCAAAACGAGGCCTGAGAAATGCTGGGGGCAGCCTGTGCTGCCTTCTCCCTTTCCTCGGGTGAATGGCACAGCAGCTCCCACTCTGCTCCGCACCCCCCCTTCCCTCGCAGGATCCAGCACTTGAGCTTTACCTGAGCGGCAGAAAACGTGTTTTGTAGAGGATGGCTCCGAGTGTCCACTGCACCTCACGGTCGTACACAAGCTGGGCTGTGCGCAGGCTGGGGTAGTCGAGGGGAAAGCGGAAGCCCTGGTGAAGCACCTGGTACATCCAGGCCGATTTGAAGCACTGGTACCTGCAAACGCAGCGGCCCGCAGCCTCAGCCAGACGCTACAGCTAAACTCCACCTGCGCCGCAGCCCCCGCTTGCCTCACCCCGAAAGCCCCCCAGCAGCCGGGACCCCCCCAGGCCCAGCCCCTTACTTGAGGCGGTGCTGGTCTGCGTGTGCTGAGTAGAGGCCGCCGTGGAAGCGGCGCGTCAGGATGGCCCAGCTCTGGCTGCAGTACTCCTGCAGGACAGACACGCTCCAGTCCCTCCAGGAAAAGGGACCGGCAGCTCCCTCTCCCCCGCACCAGGCTGGCACTCACCTGGGCAGCTGAGGTGAAGGAGGGGGCATCGTAGCGGCCGCCCAGGCGCAGAACATCCTCGGTGCAGTAGAAGAACTCCGAGAAGCCATAAAACTCGCTGTTGGTGAAGTCAATGGGTGCTTTGTAGGTCCCCACCAGGGAGGCCTGGCTGTTGTTGGTGGGTGCCATCAGGAGGGGCTGCAGCAGCTCCACGCAGCTCTGCCAGTCTCCTTGTCCGCGGATGTGCAGGGTTTGGCCGCCCCTCACCACCGTGTCCTCCAGCCCCACGGGGAGGCAGGGGTCCAGGAAGGGTGTCTCGGCGCTCAGCCCTGTTTGCTGGCCATGCAGGCTGCAGGACAAGCCAGAAAGCAAAGGTAGCTGTGCAGGGGGTCCTGTCCTGCCCCAAAAGATAAGTCGGGGTCCAGTGCTCTCCTGCAGCCCCGATACCCCAGCCACACAAGGCTGCAGCCCCCTATGCCCTTGCAGTCTGGGCAACCACCCGGTCCCCACTCCCTGAAGCAGGGCTCTCAGACCCATCACGCTGCACGCTGGGATGTGCAGTCTGGCACTCACACCCCTCCAAGGGGCAAGGTCTGCACCTATGTAGTAAGCAAGCCTGCCTAGCCCCGGAGAGAGCTTCACACAGCGCCGCAGGAATGGAATGAGGGATGGAGAGTCCCAGGCGTGCAGAGACCGAAGGAGGTTCTGTTGGCACTGACACTAGCCAAGGAGGGAAAGCTAGAGCAGAATAGGCCACCAAAGGGGACTCATACAGCCCGTGGGAGGAGGGCAGCCAGCTGCCGCGCTGATAACGCCGGAGTGGGGCAGCTCCTGTGCGCCATGTGCCAGGCTGGGCATCTGCTACCGTCACACGGCTGCTGGGAACCACCGCGGGAGGCCCCCAGGGTAAATTCGGTCGGGAGAGAAAGGCCCGAGGAAACCAGTGTCCTGTCCTGCAGCCCAGCAGGAGCTTCCCCAGTCAAGGTGGCTTTACCTGTTGTGCAGATAGGTCTGGTTCAGGATGAGCTCCTCATAGCGTTGCCGAGCAAAATTGCCGCCGAAGCCCAGGAAGGTGTTGACGTAGACACGGTACACGTGGCCAGTGTGCTGCGCGTCACAGCCCAGGTTGAACTCTGCCAGCAGGCTCTTGGCAGCCTCTTCCTGGGGAAGCAGAGGCGCCGCTCAGCCACAGCCCAGGGAAGGCGGGAGCCCTTGGTGCCAGCCCCGGGTGGCTGATAAGATACCTACCTGCTGCGGGGAGGAGAAGGGGCTAGAGCTGGGCACCTCATAGGCGATCTGCAGGGAGGCTCCCCCCATGTCCAGGATCCCAACTGTTCGTTTCCTCACCAAGGACTCCGCCTGGTCCCCCAGAGCCACCGTGACCACTGCGTCCTCCTCTGCAACCCACGGCCACACGTCAGTGAGGGATGAGGCACAGGGCAGCACGTCCTCTCTTCTGCCATTGCCACATCGCCAGCTTCACAGATTAGCCCCAAAAAGTCAAGGGTGAAAACCATTGCAGGAACCCTCCTACAAACCCTCTCTCCCTAGTTCTTCCCCCAAAGTGCTGCTGGAGCCCCCTCACAGAGCATGAGGCCACTGCCCTGCAGCCTGGGCTGCTGCCTCCGTGTTGCAGGTTCAGGAGAGTTTTGCACAGCTGCCCTCAACCCAAGGGGCAGCCGCTGCCCTCTCCAGACTCTGCCCTTTGCTCCAGCGCCTGAGTCAGCTCCAGGCTCCCCTGCCAACCACTGTGCGCACAGCTAAGCTCACCGTCCTCGTGCTCAAACCTCCCCAGGACAAAGTTGATGCCGATCCAAGCGTAGACACCTGCACAGAGAGCAAAGGGGTGCTCAGGCATTGCCCGAAGCAGGGCTGGAGGGCTGCACAGCAGCACAGAGCTGCTCCTGCGCGCAGCCTGCACCAGCTGCTGGCACCGCTGGCAGCTGCTAGACACAGGCACGGAGCAGCACCCGCAGCCAGGGCGGCCCTTACCTTCCTGCTTCCCCGAAATCACTTCTGCATGTGACTTGGAGAAGAGGAAGTCAAATTCCAGGGGCACATTTGTCACCAAGTCTTCAAGGATTGCAGCTTGCTGCCTGCAGGGGCACAAAAGAGGGACAGATCCCAAGCGATCCTCACCTCTCACTTGTGGGGCACAAGAGACAACAGGAATCCTGCTGCAGGACACCTTGCGTCTGGCCCCACGAGCCCCTTCCTGCATGCAGGAAGTTTCGCAGAGCATTTTTAGCATTTAGGGGATGCATTTCATCTATTTGCTTGAGCCTTTGGAGCGTCTCCTCCTGGCAGGAGAGCTGGGGGCACTGCCTCTCCTGCGCGCTCAGCCCCAGCCCTCTCCTTTCCCAGCGCTGCCACCCCCTCCCAGGGTCCGGCATCACCTCCCGCTTGGCTGGGGATGTACCGGGGCATCCCGGCAGGTGCCGGTTCCCCAGCGCTGGCCAACTGACCTGTCGGGCAGCAGCCTCATGCCGGCCGTGCACAGGATGTACAGCGGGGTCTCCTTGTGCTTCGCGGCCGGCACGTGGGCCGCAGCGAACTGGAGCAGGGGCCGCATGTAGGGGGTGGCTCGCTCGGGCGCTGCTGCCACCACGGAGATGCCTGGGGGGACAGGGACGCGTGGCACCACGCAGCCAGCCCGGCGGGGCCCGCGCCGGCACCGCCGCGCGCCTCCGCCGACCTGGCTTAATCTTCTTGACGACGGGGCGGCTGCCGCGGTCCCGCATCTGCCGGATGTCCAGCAGGTCGTGCGGGTTGCCGTTGTGCGGGGGCCAGAAGTAGACGAAGACGCGGGAGCCGCTGCTGCCGCAGTCCACCACGACGCCGTAGCTCAGCGCCGCGTCGCCCGTGTCCGTGGCGCCCAGCTCCGCCACGCGCGCCAGGTACCTGCCGGCATGCAGGGGCCGCTCAGCGCCCCGGGCCGCGGCCGGTTCCGCCCCCGGCCCCGGCCCAGCCCTGCTCACCTCTCGTAGCGGCGGTCTGCGCGGGGCGGCGCGGCCCAGCGGC